TGCGGATAAGTAATCTAACTTTTTAAACTTGTGTGATCAATTATATATAAAGTAAGCCATTTGTGGCGATAATATATGAAATGAGCTAATAAGTTTGATTTGAGATATTTCCACCATGGGAGATTGCATATAGATGGAGAAATTCTAAGAAGAGGTATTCTTTTTGTAGTATTATCAGTGGTGAGCTAATGGTGCCTAATTAAAATTTTATATAGCACTCCTATTAGACAATAAGGCATAATTGTGCCCATACAATAAAATGCATGTGATATATGCATTCCCATTGGACCATAATGCACAATGGTGCTTAAGTGAGCAAATGTAATATACACTTATATTATACAATTATGGTATAATAGTGCATGATTAAAATAAATAATTATTAGGCACCTTACTTGAACAAAAGGGATATACCATGTGAGACAATCCTATTGTATGATTGAATACAATAATGTCTAAATTAAAAAGTAAAAAAAAATACACATATTGCTATATGTTATGAAATGGTGGTTTACTCACTCAATACTTTGAGTTTTGAAATCATAGCAATGGATTACTTTGAGTTTTGAAATCATAGCAATGGATTAATGAGAATTTATGAAAATGGAAATGATGCATTTGAATGACCTAGTGAAGATTTGTGGGTGGCGTCACTACTACATTTTGTATTTATAGTTACGAATTTAAGCTACAAGAAATAAATATGTAGCTAATAGACAACAATAGCTACAACAAATCTAACCTGTAGCTGACTATCATTTTGATAGTTACAAGTAATAACTTCCCGAAGCTAATTTTCAGTTTTAGCTTTAATTTTTAGTTTTAGTAGCAATATTTGGTTTTCTAGCTCCAATGTTTTGGCTGTAGGCAAATCCTATAGCTAATTTTCAATTTTGTCACAATATTAAAATATTTGTAGCAATTATAGATTTATAATAAAATTAATAGTTATAAAAAAATTAAGATCATAGCTAATACTAGCATTTAACTATTGATTGTAAATTAAC